TGCGGCCAACTGCGGCGACGACGGACGATGTCGATGTCGACTGTCGACGGCAATGGTGGCCTCACCTCCGGGCGTTACTGTCCAGTCCAGAACACACACAGTAGCAAACGCGCGTGACACTCGCTACCCGGCGACGCGACGGTGGCGGCGATTGATCGAGTCAGGAGTGCAATGACGACGACGACGACGTCCAAGTTACCTCCGCGGTCGAGAGGTCGAGAATCTGTGTTCCGTTCACGTGGAGGCTACTTCAGGCCACCTCAGGCCACTTGAGGCTGCTCCCGCGACACGCACGCATGCACGCACGCACGCTCGCCCGCACGTATAAGAAAACCACGCGGAACACGACTCTCCTCTCTCCCTCTCCCTCTGTCTTTATAGTCTTTATTGGTTAGTGTCGTTGCGCGAGGCGAGGCGCGATCTCTCTCTCTCCCCCTCTCCCCCTCTCCCTCGCCGCGACGTCTCCGGCGATACAGTCGGCACAAGAGACAGGGACGACAGGAGGAGAGCGAGAGAGGGAGGGAGAGACTGATATGTGTATGTACCCGCGAATCCGATTTGTTAGTTGAGGGACACGGCGCGTGTTGCACGTAAAATGCACGACCTCGCTTCGTTTCGTCTCGCTTCCTCGACGCGAATCAGATCTTCTTTACTCCGCCGATATAACGACGGCGAGACGTTCAACAGTTGAAATAGATAGACTCCAGAGAGACTGATCGGCGCGACGGCATTAATTGGCCGAGAAAGGGAAAAATCTTGCCCCGCCCCGCTCCCCGCGTTCGTAACTTCCTTCCTCTGCGCTTTTCGCCGATATGACTTATGGCTTACGAGTCCCTCTTCTCCTCCTCACTCTCCTATAGATCCTGTCCTCGACAGGACATTTTTTTCCATGAGACTCAGCCCCTCGTCTTTTTCTCTTTTTCTTTTTTCCTGTTTCAATCTCTTTTTTCCCGCTTCTTCCGCTTTTCTATTCCACCCTCCCTGTGCCGTCAACTCCTCCTCGTCGACGATCACGGCAACACTCGGGGAATAAAATCCGCACCCTCGCGTATCTTCTCTCGCGCTCTCCTTACGTATACAAGTAGGTAACTCTTTTGCGAAAAAGGTCTTTCTCTCGCCACCAATGCTTGTCTCTCCTCCTCACTCAAGTATCCCCGAAGAAACCAACTCGCGAGTCACACGGCCGAAAGTGCCTGGTGCTCCTGGCAGCCAACATGTCGTCTGCTAGACCGGCACCAGCGGGCAGCGCGCGTCGCGACTCGCGACGACCCACTCAGTACTGTGATACAGACGACTCAGGCATGTACGCGGAATTCGAGATGCCCTCCCTCTACTCCGATGCCGGATTATCAGTGTTCATTTTTTCTTTTTTACCACGTTCCCTACCGCTAAATTTAGTAATTAAAAGCACTGCTCTTTCACTCTACTTGAGTTTTTAAAAAGCATCATGTATATCCAAGAGTAAATAAACCTCAATTTGGAATCCTGTAACGTTGCCTCCATCTTTTTATACTAACGTAAGTAATTATCTTTCACTTACTTCACGACCACGAAAATTCTGAGAAACATGATTAATATTCCCGGATGCTAAAAATCTAGGTCAATTTTTTATCAGGAGGAAAATGCGCTAAGACTGCTAGTCTAGAATACAAAACGTTATATCTTCGGGGGTTTATTCGATCAGTATGAGGATCGTGCGCACTTTACGAACACAGAAGCATACAGGTGAGACCATCGACGACCTTCCGGGTGTTTGCTAACCACTGACAATTTAATTCCGTACCTTGTTTTTTTCACGTCAAAATATGCCTTTCGGCATATATTGTAAAATAAAAATTTGTGTTTCCAATGGTATTAAAACCAAATTTCAAACCACACAACGATAACTTTCTTGTTGTTTCATTTACATTGCTCGTATGTAACGTATAAATTATAAAACGTATTATTAGTAACGTATTGGAAAAATCTGGTTATATATACCAGCAAATTTTAATTAGCACTAATAGGTATTGATAATCAGGAGAAAAGGACACTTGAAATAAGCATTTTCAAATCAATGGACAATCAATTTAATTTAATTTTGCGTTGTTTATATTAGGGAAAACTACCAACGTTGTCGCTAAACCAATCTAATTTAATAATAGTTGGATACATATCGAAAACGCTCCTCTACAAAAATAAAAATGTATGTATTTGTATATTACAATCAATAAAATAAATATTTTAATATCAATTCCCCTTTTGTTATTTCCATATGTACATATATGTAAATAACATCTCACAGTAAAAGCCACATTTCGCGCGAATACAATACATTAGTACAAAATATGATCGCGTGTGTATAATGCTGTAATATCTGCATCATGTACATATTGATGGTATTTTTGTTGTTTTTGTACCGTTTACATTACTTTTTCTCCACTGGCTAACAATTAAAATGAATACTTTCGTACTCAAATTTATCGCGAGTTGTATGCGACAGTTGCATCACTTTCGCCTCCATCAGTTTTCGACAAGTTGTAAATTTAACTGACGATAATTCACTGACGATGCACTGCAACTTGGAAAACCCGTCCTCGGAAAACGCTCTTTGCATCTAGAATCTTTTTCAATGAATTTCAAGTAAACATCTTTCCAAGATGTTCACTTGCTTTGTTTTGATCGAGCGAGTCAAAGACAAAATACTGTCTCGCGTTTCAAATTTTAATACCACGCTGATTTCTTCACGTGGAGCTTATATAGGTTTACAGCTTGGTAGTCGACTTGATAACTGACGTCTTTATAACCGATGATTCTTCCGTCGGTTTTTCTTCCGCCAGGAGAGAATTCAGATCTAGATCTTGAATATTCATCGAGTGTTGACTGGAACCTCCTAAAAGTAAAACAATAAAATCTGTCATGTGTATGTGTGTGTATGCTTGACTAATATACTTATTTTTAAACAGTTTAGTTGAAATAATCAACTAAAATCGTATGTTGTTATAATATACATACTCGTATATCAGAGATAAAGCACAAGATACAGTCGTAGAAATTATCTATATAATATTTAATTTACAAACTGTTTGTAAGGTATATCAAAAGATTTAACAATTTGACAATAATTTTGTATATCCTAATAACGATATGTACCTACCTGCGTGTGCAATAAAAAGATCCTTGAGAAACCCAAGCTCCTTGGTGAGCATTTTAATTTTCTCCTCCAACAATTCGTTTTCCGTTTTCAATTGATTTACTCGTTCCAAGGTTTGTTGCGTACGTAATTTACTTTTCACTCTCGATCGTTTCACAGCCTGTGAACAGCGCGGGAACAACGATGATAGTATACATATGCAAATAACATGAACAATTTACATACAAAACTGATAGATTACCTGGTTATTCCGATCCCGCCGCTTTCGATAATCCTCGTCGCCCTCGTCCTCCATTTGCTTCTTTCGCTTGCTATTTTCTTTATTTTTCGGCATCTAAATTAACATGCAAAGATAAGTCTCGGTTAGTTGAGATCGGCACAAATTGAGATGAGAAGGACAGTAAAGATATCTGATCGTTCTCTCTCTCTCTCTCTCTCTCTCTCTCTCTCTCTCTCTCTCTCTCTCTCTCTCTCTCTCTCTCTCTCTCTCTCTCTCTCTCATTTCTTATAATTAAACATAAAACGTAAAAAAAATTTAAATATACATAACAGCAACTTTTAAGCTTGAATTATATCTTTTTTCCGTACAGCCTAAACACCAACATACGTGGCAAGAAAATCGCAATTTTACGTAAACTGTCGCATAACGCCAATGGTGCTCCGTATTTACGGTATTTACTCAATAAGGCCTTGCCTCGAGGTCGCTGTTAAGAAACCTTCGCATACGTCAGTCGTCACTCGAGACGACAGCCAGGACAACCTCGATTCGAAATTCTCGAAAACCGCCAACATTTGTCGTGATGGCGCGACTTAACTGCAGCTTAAGTCAGAAGAACTTGTCATTTTCGGATTTTCATCGTTAGCTGTACAAAATTTCTTTCAATTAATCAGAATTCTGCGTAACAATCTACGCGTACAAATGTGTAAACTACATGTCTTGCGTGTTATCTATGTAAACTATTTATGAATCATTGAAGCCTGTGTTGTTTGTCGTTGCATTAAACTGCACTAAAGCTTCTGTCTCGCTTATATAGTATATTTGTATTTATCAAAATGAAGTTCTATATATCTGCAAATGTATTAACAATTGTAAAACTTACAACATAATTTACACATTTTGCATTGATTGTATCTCGCTTAACGTAAACAATATGTAAAAGTGTCATGTAATGAAATCCTTGAAATATTTATATATTATATATATATATATATAGCACAACTTTGAGAAATTAATCCTATTTCAATTCAATCTTTCGCATTGCAATGATGCTTTCTAATTTGATTAAATATCGCCGAATAGTAATGCCATAAATAGATAAAGATGGCATTCCCGAGAATACCTCGCTTCGCTTAACAAACTTAACGAACCTGCAAATGGGAGGTTCTTTAAAAATATGTTGGGAGATCTCGCAATGATTTCACTCGCATTGTTAGCCTTACAATCGTGCCCGCTCTCTCGGCTCGTTTCCGCGAATTGATAACATTAAACTCTTATATAAATCTGACATCATCGACCGCGGCGGCAATCGTTGATGCTGGTTGGTGCGCAATACACGGCACTCCGTCACGTACATATGTATAAACGAAAAACATCGAGTATGCCAACGTATTATATATCCGAGAGCGTCGGAAAATAACGGAAAACAGCCATCTCGCTTTATCATTTTTTCGATAAATTTGTTTTTTCCCAGCGGGCGGTATCCACGCGATTCTTCCTTCACGTCCATCGATCATTCGCATCGTGCGTCTAGTTCTACTCACCGCCCCGGTCGGGACTCCGTCCTCGTCGGTTTCAGTCCCCGTGATACCATCATCGAGAGATCCAGACGGATACGTCTCCCCCCCCTCTTTTGCTCTCACTCACACACTCCCTCTCTCTCTCCTCGTCGTAGTTTTCTCTTCCGTTCCACTCGCGGAATGCGCGATGATTGATGAAATTATGCGCGACGTGATAAAACAAGCATAAAACTGTCCATCGACTTGTTTATCTCGCACAGTGAAATGGATGCGTAGACCATTGCAGTATCGCCAGAGTAAAATTGTGCAGAAGAGAGGGAATAGGAAAAAAGAGACAAAACAATTAGCGCTCTCTCTCTCTCTCTCTCTCTCTCTCT